ACCGGAGCCCCGGCGGCGCTCTGCGGACGCCCCTTCCCCCCATCCGCGCCCGCAGCCGTGGCTCTGCCGTGCCCCGCGGTGTAGGCGTCTGTGGTCAACACCCGGGTGGTTGCTGCCGTTCGGAGGGACCTGGACGGGCTGGAGAGGTGGGCAGAGAGGAACCTCATGAAGTTCAGTGAAGGGAAGTGCAGGGTCCTGCAGCTGGGGAGGAAAAACGCCATGCGCCAGTGTTGGAGGTATGCGGGAAAAGGAGACTAGGGCATTACTCAGTCTTTCACAGATAGTTAACAAAACGTAGCCCTGGAGGAAGGAACAAGATGACACCAAAGTCAGCCAGATAAGGGAGTACCAAAATAAGCCGAGGAACAAAAACAGCTGATAAAGCAAAGAGAACTACTTGAACTAGGGGTAAACTATCCCAATTAGCATAGTAAAAAAGCCCACCCCCCAAAGCCCCTTCCCCATAGGGCTTGCCTAGTAGAAAAAGAGAATACTGTGACTTTAAACGAAGACGAGACCTAGCAGGAAGCAATGGGAACGAGGATGACTTAAGGTAGTTGTAAAATGTACTGGTAACTGTATGAAGTGTCGGCTGCGTAGTAACGAAGGTGTGCTAGCTTTGGGGAATTACCACCTAGCACCCATCTCTGCGCAGATATGAATTAAACAAATGATCTCGACTCGGTGCTTTTCGGCTCGTTGCACACTGGGTAAAAAGAACCCTTCTTTTGGGGCAACACCAGTACAAGCTGGGGGCTGACCTGCTGGAAAGCAGCTCTGAGGAGGAGGACCTAGGTGTCCTGGTGGACAAGTTAAGCATGAGCCAGCAATGTGCTCCCATGGCCAAGAAGGCCAATGGTATCCAACAGAGCGCAGCCAACAGAGGCAGCGAACAGACGCAGTAGTTTGCGCAGCAGTGTCTGGGCTCTGCCTGGAAGAGAAAGCTCAGGGGGATCTGATCAAACTGTCCACGTATCTAAAGGGAGGGGAGGGTGTCAAGAAGATGGGGCCAGTCTCTTCTCCGTGGTGCCCAGTGACAGGGTGAGAGGCAACGGGCACAAACTGAAGGAACACACAGGCAGTTCCATCTGAACATGAGGAAAGACTTCTTTCCTGTGAGGGTGACAGAGCGCTGGCACAGGTTGCCCAGAGAGGCTGTGGAGGCTCCTTCTCTGCAGATACTCAAAACTCCAGAGTACTCTCCTGGCCGCAATCTTGTGCAATATGCTCTAGAGGACCCTGCTTGAGCAGGGGGGTAGGACTAGATGATCTCCAGAGGTCCCTTCCAACCTCAACCATTCTGTGATGCAAGCTGGGACTGGACTGCCCCTTTCACTGGCAGACATGAATCCATTCAGTTTAAACGTATTTTTCATTGAGCAGTGTTTGGGTTTGCTTTGATAGGAGAGGGGGTTGGTATTTCAGCATGTAGCATGGAAGACATGACCTGTGCTCTGAATAATATCATGATCTCTCCACTGATGCCTCTGAAACGTCAACTTCAGAATGAATGGAATGAAAGGGATGCATGAAAGGCTGAGTGAAACTTCAACTTTGCATCTGTAAGTTATTCCATGGAAAGAATGAAGTGTTTACTGCTTCAGGAGTTTCATTATAGTAGGACAACTTAAATACTTTTCCTTATTTCTTTCCTTGTATGTTCATTTAAGATAGGGGGAAAAAAATCTAAATGTATGCTTTCTGGTGAGTATGTAATGTCATCAAAAATATTTAATTTCGTCAAAAATTGAATATTAGGATGGGTAGCACTTGTAACTTCACTTAGGACACTGAAGATAATCTAGTTTGCTCTCTTTCTGTAGCCAGAGCAATAAAAGAATGGAGGTTTTGGCTGTGTTAAATCAACTAGAGCATCTCTCTTCATACCCAAGGAACAGGGAAGTAATTGTTGAAGAATGTCTTTCTGGCCTTATCCTATTTCTGGAACATCCAAGCAAAAGTCCTGTATTCAGCTCTTCAGGTAATGAAGTGAAACTGCTTGGTAAGCTGTTAAAATTGTGTTACTGTAATGCAGTCATCTTACTCTTATTAAAGCTTCAAAACAATCCTTTCATTGAGAGAATACGCTGAGAAGCCTTTAAAGAAAAGTGTACAAGCACACAATGTTAGTAACAACTATTTCATATGTTAGTACAGAGAATGATGCAAGTTATTCTGTGTAAGAGAAAACAAAACAAACTTCAGTTCGTGTAATAAGAGAAAACAGTACTTAACACAGTAAACTCACTGGGGGCAGCAGGACATGATTGTAAATGTATCAGCAAGACCAGAGTTGTTTAGTTGGTAACTGGTATTACAAAAAGCATGTACAGCATACATACTAAGTGTGCACTGTCACGATAGTCTGCTAATGGGTTGTGGGCTAAATGGTCTAGCAGCTGCAGTCTGGAGGCCACTCCAGATGAGGGGAGAACCTCTAGAATACTTGCAGCATGCAGTAAGACCTGTGTTATCTTGTAGCATCAGATCAACCACGTTTGTCAATCACGTTGAAGAAAGGGAAGTAGTTTGTGGCCCTTGATGTTTTAGGTCTCTATCTGGTAAACTTCTGGCTAGTTCAGAGAACTAAAAAACAAGATAGCATGTGAGTTTCAATATACAAAGTACTCTTTATTATCAACCACTTGATAGGATCTGACCAAAGTGAACTCACTTCAAAAAAAGAAATCTGGCTTTGGATGCTATACTTGCTTTTAACGCAGTCTATGTAA